GAAATTCAGGGTGCAGTCCTATGCTGCTATCTAATCAGTTCCTGTCGTTATCTATTGGCAGATGAAATGTAGTCCTGGCTCTTCATGCCAGAGGCAAAAATGATAAATAAAAAATGGGTTATCAATCCCCAAATTTAAATAAATTGCTGAATGAAGCGGGATCATGTTTGATTTCGAATTTGTGTCTATTCTTCAGTAAAACATAATGCGAAAATTATGGTTGGTTCTATTTTTTCCTTGTTCTTCAGCAAAAAAGGAGCTGGAGAAGAAAAAAGAACATGCAAAAAGTAGTAGATGGAAGCCTGTTTCAATATTGATTGTTGAACATAACCTACGTGCTCAAAAAACTAAAAAGGAAAAAAATCATACCTATATTTTGCTTTCTGTGTCCTATGTATCTTTAGATATATATTTGTTCTCCAATATAAATATATTCCCATAAGAACCTTTATGTGTTTCGGCCTTTCGGGACAACTTGTATAAAAAAATGGAGTTCCTATAGCTCACTTCTCCTGGAGTACGTTTACAAAATTTAGGTGCAAATATAGTGCAAAATTGAGAGCTTTTTAAAACTTGGAAGCCTAAACAAAATTCTATTATCAAGCTTCAGGAGCGGGGAGGGAGGAGGAATGGGAAGTTTGGGGGGGTTTTTTTGGGGGGGGGGGGGGGGGGGGAGGGAGGAGGGGGGGGAGGGGGAGGCAGGGGTGAGGGATAATTGTCCTGAGTAAAGACCACGTGAATGAGGAGGAAATTCCGAGATGATGGCGTTTTCCTAAAAGATTTTCCAAATAGTAAAAGTTGTTAAGAAAATGCATTCAATTAATACAATCTTTCCAACACGCATTTACTAAATGCATTTGTTAAGAAATAAATATTTAGAAAAATCAAAGGATGCATTTGCTCAATGGAGCGGTTCTAGAAATAAGGCTTGCCAAGTTAAAAGTTTTCCAAACCCATTTGATTTTATTAGGGTACTTGTACTCTCACTACCTTTGCTCTTCTCCAGCGTCTCTCTACTTCTTCTCTTCTTCTCAAAAGGCCTTCCAAATCCATGTATACAATTTTTACTTTGGTTTTCTAATAAAGTCTCTTCTCAAATTTTTTTAGTGAGAGATCTCCGTTTCTCTTAGGTTTCCTATTGAGAAATTTCTATTTCTCCTTTGGATTTCTAGTGAAAATTTTCTGTCATCACTAGTGAAATTTTTGTTCAGTTTCTTTTTCTTATTTTGTTGGTATATCTGAATTAATTTCAGATATGGATATCAATCTTTATTTTTTTTAAAATCTTAGGTCTATTTCAATAGATTTCATAATAATTATTGGAGATTAAAGTAATTAATTAATAGATTTGGCAATTGCAACATGTACAGAAAGGAGTTGCAGAGAATTATCTTATTAGAAAACAATCCTGAAATTTCTTTGTATTTTTCATATTTATTCATAATTTTTCAGATTTTATTGTATCTGTTAAATTGCAGGCTTTGTTTGGCATCTTATTTTTATGGGTGTTTTAATAGACAAATTTTTAACAACTTTGTCTATGGAAACCCCAAAAATTTTAAAAATACACACTCCATAAAATTTTCCAAACACTCAAATACCTAAAAGGTTTTATAAAAAGTCTACAGTAGGCTATAGTAGAATTTCAGGCAAACTCCCAAAAAACACACCGTCGACACCAAAATTTTACCATTTTGTTTATTTATTTTTCGTTAAATTTTATTTTTATTTTTTTATTTTTATTTTCTTGATAAAAATCATCATTTTTAGAAAAATCGAAAAAAAAGAAGAGGAAGAAGAAAAGAAAGACAAAGTAAAACAAAAAAAAGAAGAAAAAAATAATAAAAAAATGGAGTCCACGCACGCGCGCTGGTTTCTTCTTCTTCGTACGAAGAAGAAGAAGCAGAAACAGTACAAGATTTTGCAACGGCAATTTGGATCCCATTTCCACCCATTTTCTCGCATTTTTCTTTCCCGTTAAGCCCCTCAGTACGATGCCACTGTTGAAATTTCTCGTCACTGTTGAAATTTCTGCAGCAAATAGGGCTCCTGACTTCACTCCAAAAATCCACGCAGCTTCCATCGATTCGTCAGGCTTCTTTATCTTTGTAAGTTCACCATCAGAGCCATATTCTGGACTTTATTCGAAGCCTATAGATGAAAGTTGTTTGTTTTTCTTTTTATGAATCTAGGGGGAAGCTTTGAGCGTTGAATCTTGTTTTTTTTTTTTTATTATTATTATTATTATTATTTGTTTCTGTTATCAAAAGGGAAGAAGAATGCATGAGAAATTTGACAAGATTTAAGTTTCCGTTAGTTGTGCATGTTTGTTGTCTTTGTTGCCCCCATTTCCTTTCTTCCTATTCATTTGTTTGCCCAAGAAGCTGCTTTCTTCAACTCTTTGTGGAGCCTTGTTGATGTTTTTGGATGATGCTGCTAGGAGTTTTTGGAAAGGATTCTGGTTTGATTTGTTCCATAGAGTAAGGTTTTGATTGCCTTCCTTTTCATGATGCAATATGCGTGTGAATGTTGGCTGATTAAATGAAATTCCATAGCAAACCTAGAAACCGCAGAGGAAAGCTTCGAAGGAGATGCATCAAAGTTTCTGAAATTTCACTTAGACCCCTTATTTTTTAAATAATTCCACCATGGCACAAAAATTCTGCCAATGAACCATTTCGAGTCCTTTTAAATTTTAATCATCTTATGGGTGTTATAATATATCTTTAAAGCAAATTATTTCTGGGATTTAGGGAATAATTAGGGTTAATGATTTTTTAGTTGATTTATCATCTTGTTGGATTTTGGTAAAATAGTTTAGGGTTTGAACTTGGTTTTGTTTGATTGGGTTTTGGAAGTGGGTTTTGATTTAATTTGATTGGGTTTGATATGGGTTTGGAGGGTTAAAATCCATCCATTTTGTTGGATTTATTTGGGTCAAAAATGTTGGACTGGCCCGTTCTTTTGCTTTGGACTTTGGTTGGGCCAATGGGAGTTCTAGCCCAAAGAAATAATAAGATGGCCCCAAAGCCTATTTTCTCAAGAAATCAGAAAACAAAAATTGCATTTCAGTCCCTGTACTTTTGAATATTTTTACTATGAGTTCTTTCAATCAGGTTCCTAATTTAATTATAAATAGGTCCCTAAATTTTATTTTTATTTCATTTTGACCCCTAAATTTTGTAATAATTGTAATTGTACCCTAAAAACTTTCTCAATTTTTTGCAAATAGGTCCCTAGCAGTTTAGATTTCTTAAATATAGGTCACTTTTCTGCTTTAATTGTTAATTATGCTTCATTTAAGTGATTTAATTGATAGATTTCATGATTATTTCCATTTCTTTATAATTAAATTGGTGTCTTGATCATTTTGTTCATTTTGGAGCATAAGTAGGATAAATTTCAGCCTATTTAATCACCACTTCAAGGAAGATAACCTCTTTTATTATTTTAAACTCTTTTATGTGCTCCAATGTGTTTTTATGTGTAATTGCATGTTTTGAGTGCTTTTATCTTTAATTAGTCGTTCTTATTCATTTTAAGTTTCATTTATTTTGTTTAATTTTGATGATTATTTGAGAGGCATTAAAATGTCAAGTTGTAATAGATATGTGTTCAAGACATGTATTTAGCTAGCCTATGTAATAGATAGGTTTTAATTTTTGCTAAAAGCGTATTTAGTTAGATAAATGTAATAGTTAGGTTATTATTTTTTTTTAGAATTCCTTCCTTTAGATTGTAGTTAGGACCCCGAATGTAATAGTTAGGCTCTTATTTTCATTTATTTGCTTGGGTGCTTGCATGCTTATGTGCTTATGTATTTACTTGCTTTTATTAGGGTTTTGCATCTATAAATTATGCTTATGTGTTATGTGATCTATGTGTTTTATGTGTTTACTTGTTTTAATTATACTTTATATGATTTATTTAGTTATAATAAATGTATGGCGTCACCACACTAGTCTAATGCTAGTGAAGACTTGTAGAGGTGGGCTAGTTCAATGCTAGACCATTTAGACTGTTTTCGCGCTAGATTCACATTCTTTGCGTGACATTCATCATATTTCATGCACGTTTTTCATTTTTAGGATCTTTTCACATCTTGCATGATATTTTCTTTATATATTATCCCCCTTTACCCCTATGTGTGCAAAATATGACATTTAGACTTGCATTCTATTTAGAAAATTAGAAATAAGTTAGTTCATTTGCTTGACTACATTAGAAGAGTCACCTTTCAAATATGAGAAATGGACGAGTATGGCTTCTTAACCTTAGCACGCTCGTATCTCTTCTATAAAAAGGAAAATCGAAATTACGAATCTTAGTCCCCGTACCCGTTACGTTGCATTCCTCTTCTTTAGGTCACGTATATTTATTTTAATTCTTCTTTCCTTCGAGTCTCATCTTTGCATATTCGTGACCTCTTTTAAGGATCATTTTGGACATCACAATTAATATGATTTGCAGCAATTAAACTTTGAAAAGATATTTCGACCCTCTCAATATCTATTAGGTCTAGATTTGCATCCATGTAGAAATATCCAAATATGATAAGTTTTATAGGTTATATTAAGAAAATTTTCGACTCAATCACGCAACTAACTTTGGCTAGGTTGAAAGGGTGCCTTAGATCAAATCTTTGCCTTCCCTTTCTTCAACCGTGACTCCTGAACTCTTTTATCTTGTTTTTTGAAGACCTGGATTTGTCTAAAAAGGGTTTTGTTTATTTTTTTTTTATTAAAAAACACATTTTTGGGTGATTTGGTACACTTTAACTCAATACCAAGTGGCGACTCCTATTTTTTCTTAAAGACCCTTTTTAGACTATTATTTTAGATCCAAATCGTCGCACTTTTTTTAAGTCTCATTTTAGGCCCTTTCCTTTTGTTTATTTTCTAAAATAAAAAACTCATTTTCCAAAGTAAAAAATTCATTTTTCTAACACCTAAAACCATTAGATACACAGTTTATTTTATTATTTTTCAAAAAAAAAAAATGGGGCACGACACACACAATCTAAATGGACCAGCAAATCTATTATTTTCAGTGCATGTTTAACTTACCATTTGTGTAGATTTATATGATGTAAATCAAATTGTGCTGGATGATTTCCAACAATCTATTAATGAACCATGTTATCCAAAATAGAATATATTAGGGCACTTGTAAGTCCTTCATTAACAAAATCTAGAAAGATAACAGTAGTATAGTTGAAATGATCAGAAGAGATTTCAAGAAAAGGAAAAAAATGATCAGTAGATCAAAACTTGTTGCTTTTCCCGATTCTGTATCGACGTGAATTCTTTTTTGGTCCAATGTAAAACTCTTAGCTATTATTATTCATAAAGCAAGAGAAAGTTAGCAATAGCGGCATGATACTTTTACAAAGAATCTGAGAGCAGAACAATCACTGAGCCCTACAGAAAAGCCAATGACGAAAGAGCCACCATAACTCAGCAGCGATAAGAGAAAGTACCATGGCAGTTATGCAGGTATTTACTACAGTTAATCAATTGTTGGGGTAAATATTTAGCCATACCATAATTATTTAGCTATGGTACGTGGTTAAATATTTAGCCATACCATAATTAACTGTGGTACAGTTAATTATTTATGCATGGTACAGTTAATCAATTGTTGTGGTAAAGATTTAGCCATGCCATCATTATTGAGTACGTGGTTAAAAAAAAAGTACTTTTGTTACAGTTTTCATTGAGAGGAGTAATAAGTATGAATAATATCGAATTAATTGTTGCATTTTGGTCAACTTTAGTGTTATACAATAATCAGTAATCACCTTAATCTTTATCTGTAAATGTGTAGTGCCCCATATATGTGTGTATATATATATATATATATATATATATATATATATATATAATTTTTTACATTGAGAACCCATGTAACATATACTTGGAGGCCATTTCTTTTATTACATGGAAATGTACATATGGAGAGAATATACTTCGAGTTATTTTATTTGCAAATGCAGAAGTTTTAAACTTTACTGACTGAAATGCCAATGTCATGATTGTATCATTGAATGCATATTGTTGGAAACTGTTGGCATATTAAATCGAATCGATGTTAGAGAACTAGAAATTTTCATAGTACGTATTAATTAACAGTATTATTGGAGTCAATATATGGTATTTTTACTATTTAGGAATCGGTATTCTATTAGGTAATTACTTACTGTGCTTGTTTCTTATTCATCAAATCATGTTGACCATACATAGGGTATAATTCTTGTGTTCACTTGAGAAGAGTGAAAATTTGAAAGTAAAAAAAATGGTAAATTTTATTGATTTCAGGAAATCAGGTTACACATAGATTCTCTTGACATATCATTATTGCACTCCTCTCCATAGTACATCCCTAGAAGTCCACAAATACATGCTATATGAAAATTTGGTAGGGATACCCGACTCTACCAACATCCTCCTCCAACTCTCCTCAGTCCTAGGAATTTTCTCCAAGAAACAGTTGCACAATGGACTATGCTAGTAATGGCGTCAAGAATACACACATCTGATCCCTGCTTTGATTGGAATCTAATTTCATTCCGAGCTCTCCAAATGGTATACACTGTCATTGCTAAAGTCATCCTCTTGAATTGATTGCAGAATGATTCTCCCGACTGGTGATGAGCAAGCCAAGCGATTTCACAGTCTCAAGAGAGTTTACTTCTAAATACACTACACATTTGCAGTTTTCGCTGAATTCTTTCTGTAACTAGACAATCAAAGAATAGATGATCCATACTTTCCACAGCCATTGCACAGCAAACACAAGTTGCTGATTCCACCTTCGAACCCCACTTCCTCAATCTACTGTTGTCAATTTTCTTTTACAAGGTAGCGATAAGATAAAGGAGCATCTTGATATATGATTCTTACCCCAAACCAGTTTGTACCATTCCACAGTTGGTTTGCTACCTTTGATTACCTTCAAAGCTAATTTAACAGGAAAAAAATACCAATATCACTTGCAGTCCATCTAGCTTGATCTTCGTTTCGTTGTCTGGCATAGGAACAAAACTTTCAAGTGTTAATTGCTCCAGCCATTTCACTCCCTTTGACATTTTCCTACTTTGAGGCCACTTTCATTTTCCATCTTCAATACACTTGGCCTAAGAGTTGCACCCAAAGCAGGATAGTAGATTTTCTGAAAACTACAAGAACAACAGTCGCACAAGAAGCCATGCATCATAACAAAAATTTGTTTGAAGACCATTCCCTATTACATTCTGAACAAAAGAGCGAGCTACCGGCCTTTGTTTCAACAATGTTCTCCTTATCCAAGAACAATTCCTTGGGATCTTAATACCCCAAAGGACCTCCTTTTCAACATGACTTCATGCACCTATTTCACCTATTAAGAATCTTTCTTGTTGCATATATTCCAAATGAGTTTCATTTCAAGACTTTGATTCCACAAGGACAAATCCATAGAATCAAATCCACCCTCTTTTTTTGGCAAACATAAGGATCCTTCCAACGTACTCTGCTGGCTCTGTATCTAGTTCTAACTTCACCTGCCCATAGGAATGATGCAATGATACAATTAATCCTTTTAACAGCAACTGTTAGAAGAATAAACACACTTGATGACCAATAAAAATGTATACTATTCAAGACAGACTGTATAACCTGTATTTTACCACCATAACTCAACTTTTTAGTAGCCCACCCTTGTACTTTCTGATGTAGCTTAGTGAAAATTAGTTCACAATCCTTCTAGGATAATCTGGATGTAATCAATGGCCGTCCAAGATACATCACTAGTGGTTCTCCTCTAGGCATTTTGAGTAACTGATGTGACGCCAGCAAAGAATATGTAACATTTCTGAAGATCTGGTTCCAACCCTGACATTTTCCCAAATTCCTCCATAGCAGTAGCAATAAGCGTAAAGGATCTCTTTCTAGCACCAGAAATTATAAAGAGATCATCAGCAAAAGTCAAATGTGTTAGCCAATCTTCTGGCAGTGGGGATAAAAATCAAACAAATTAAACAGAACACTGAATCCTTCCATTGCAATCACAAAGAGTTGAGGTGAAATGGGATCCCCTGCCTCAAACCTCTTTCATTGGGGAAACATCCAATAAGTCATCTATTGATATTGAGCGAGAATCTTCCAGTAGTGACACATAAAACCACCCATCTTGATCAGGTAATCTTAGCATTTCTAGCATAGAAAGAAATACTCCCAACATAGAGAGCTGTATGATTTCATAACATCTATTTTCAAAACATATCTGGGCTTACCCCTACTCCTTTGATATCCTCTCACCAGTTCATGAATTACCAGGACATTATCAATGATATGCCTGCCCTTGACAATGGCATTTTGAGTGTCACTGATAATACTAGGTAGGACACATTTCAATCTAGTATTAGAAGGAAGAGAGGTTTGGTTCTTTGCCTCCCTTGTTGCCACGTGGTTACCTAATAATTTGGGTAACATACATAAAACCCCCCTGTGGTTAAGGAAATCAACACGAAACTTTCTCATTATTTAGAAACGCCCACTTAACCTCCCTGTGCTTTGGACTTCTTAGGATTTTACCTGCTGATCGGCTGGGAAGCTAGTGAGTGATATTGACGCGATCTAATGGTCACTTGTGACTAGAAGAAACTAGTTTTCATTTCAATTTTGCCCTCCATGTCTCTTACAAATGAAACCCACCATAGTTGTAGTTCTGCAAATGGAAAAAATGGACAGAGAAATACAAAACTAAGACAAAAAAAGGTCAGAGTTTGAAAAAAACGCAAGGCTGAATTGGCAAATTTTGAGCACACCAAGTTTGGACTTTGCACAAAAAAAAAGAAAAAAAGAAATGGTGTTAGCAAGCTCCAGATTGAAGTAGTAATTGCTAGAATGGCGGCAGTAACTGTAAGGATAGAACAACAACTGACTAACTACTTTACCTGCCTCTTAAAATATTTCTCCTTTCTTCATCCAAATGGCGGTAATATTGTACTAACCAGAATTACTACTGGTGAAGTAGATTAACAAAATCTTCCGGATACAAGTGGAGACCAATCAGTGGCCAGCTGATTTATAAAATGAATGAACAAGGCAAGACGAAAACGAGACAAACTTAAGAGGAAATTTACAGTAGTTGTGGTATCAAAGGAGGAAGAAGAGAGAAGTTTAGTGGAAGGAAATGCTTCAAATGTTGTCCAGAAGTTTAGTTCTTGACTTAATTGGTAACCTTATCCATGGCATCTGATCCATGTTGCATCATTTTGGTTTCGTTAAAGTTACACATGTGAAAAAAATCAAACAACGTACCTATCCATATTATGCCAAAATTAGCTTTGTCTCTTGAGAGAAGTAGTTTATGGATTGTGAACTTCCCCAAAAAAGTAACTGAAGTTGCTCTTGCAGGTTTAATATAAATGAATATGTTTCTTTTGCTTCGGAGAAAAAAAAAATTGGTCTTTGTGGAGCACTGCTGCACTGATAAGAAAGAGACTACTTGTAAAATACCAAGTTATAGGTTTGAATATCAATCAAGTAATCGTAGGGCTACTGGTTTCACTCTCAAACCCTCCCTTTTCTTCTTCTTTTTTTTCTTTTTCTTTTTTGTTCTGTTGTAAGGTTTGAAGTTTTATATGTCGAATACAAACTAAAAGGTAATCCACCTCAAAAATTTTAAAATTTTTTATATCTGTATATATCATTGGCACACTCGAAAAGTCATATATATCGTGCTCATAAGAAAAAAACTAGTGTTTTAGGGGGAAAATTTATGGCACATAAACGGCATCCTGATTGAAAGACATAAACGGCCTGTTGCAAAGGAATGTATCCAGTTTGATTGTTTGTAATGGCAAAACCACTTTCTTGTGGTATGGCATCCTAAGGGGCCTCATGTACTGCCAAATTCTGGTCTTGAAGATTCATTACTGCTTGCCCAGCTTAAATGCAGGTTACACAGTCGATTGTGCCATAAGTAAACTTGTGCAAATTTATTCTAAAGTCCCCTGGTTTAAAGATGTTTGGGGTAAGGTAAGCATAAAGCCTTGTTTTTAGAGAACGTTTATTGACCATAGACAGGTTACTATCCTGGGAAATGGAGGTTGGTCCCTTGTGTAAAAAGAATATGTTGCTATGCTCTTGAAACTCTCTTACCTGATGTTTGGGAGTTGGTGCAGAAGTGTTGCTTGGTGTGTGGGAATCTGCAAACGCAATGGATGATTCAGAAATGTTCTCATAATTCGCTTATTATTGCTGTTCAAAGGGTAACTTTTGCAGCCAGGGTGTATAGATTGTGGCATTACAGGAGCTTTAGCATCTTTAAAAACCTTGTATAGCATCATAACTAATGTTGTGGTTGATTGCATTATGAAAAAGGTGGCTGGATGGATAGGGTTGAAGGCATCTCAGGAGGCTGTCAACCTTTGTGCAGAGTTAAATCTTGCTAGTTCTTGTATAGAATACTGGCTCTGAAGCCTCTTGATGATTTTGTAAGCAGTAGCTGATTAGCTATGAATTAGCTGCGAATAGCACGATTAATCATTAACACTTAACTGAAATAGCACTATCAAACATTAACACCCAAAAAATTCGGGAAAAAAAAATTGAACACCCAAAAATTTTTTTAAAAAAATCGACTAAAACTGAAAATAAAATCATGAAATCAGATGAAGGAGAACAATTAATTAATAAAAAATTGAAAAATTTTAACTCAAATGACATCAAACGAAACATCCACACAAGCAAAAGGAATACACGAAGACATCACTGTAGTACTTAGAAACCATTAAAAGAAATTGCATCTTAGAAATTTAGTACCTTAGAAAACTATGTTATGGAAAATATATACACGGACAAAGCACACATGAAATATTACTAATCTTCTATAAGTACAAACATATATGAATGATCGGTCTAGATTTAGCTATATATATGTACATATCCATCACTTTCGAAACAGCCAAAGAAAATAATTTTCATCCTACATTAACATGATTAAACTGCAGTTAATTACGTCAAAATTCAAGAATGTAATTTACAAATTAAGCATCGCAATGCAGAGCAGCCCTATAACAACCGAACCAAAACAAAGTACAATTGTGAATCCTTCTTGAATGACCATAGCTGCACTGGTGTTTCTGGTTTCAATCCATTCCTCTTAACAACCTCATTCCACCCACTCACCAACACGTACACTTCAGAGTTCCCCATATACCACTTTTTGAACTTGATTCCTGATTGAGCAAGTGATGGCTCAATTAAGAGGGCATTAATTTCTTGCTGTTTGTTATCAATGTTGAATCTCCTCCTCTCTTCTTCTGTCAAGAACCCGTGATTCAGAACCTGTTTCACCGGAATCGACAATCTTTGAAGCCCAGTGTTCACGTCTGAAGAAGACAGTTTCTTTTCAATCACCAAAACAGGGTCCCCTGTTGCCCCCAGTTCCTCCATGTACTTCTTCAACTCCAGTGGAAGTTGTTCCCGCTGGTTCTGTTCTGACGGAGGAGAACAAATATCGCCTGTTTGTTGCTTCGTCACTCGATCAGGAATATCTATCATTACAACTAGTTTCTTCTTAAAAGTAATCTTCGTCTTGCTTTGCCCAGTAGATTCCTGTGTGGCCGCTGATTTTTCGTTCAAGAATGGTTCTTGATCAAGAAGCTGATGATCATCAAGAATGGGCAAACTGATTTTGGTATCTCTTGCCAATTGAACCATTCTTTTACCTCTATTCTCCCAAATTTTCCCTGTTTTTTCAGTCAATGTGCGAAATCCCGAAAGATCATCAGCGGAACTTTTCCTGGTTCTGCGTAGATTATTGTGATTCTGGGAACTGATTCCAGTAGTTCTTGCCAAAAGAACTTCCTTTTTACCCTTATTCACAATGGATTTCTTGAAAGGTACTGTTTTTTCAATCACGGGACAAAATATCTGCTCATCTTGAGCAGAATCGAACTTTGATCTTTGAGGATACTTGCTCTTTCGAGGGCGTCGGCGGAAATTCAGAACCGCCATTCTTGATCTTCCCTTCCACCAACTTAGATGCTAGAACTACGATTTCTTCCTATTAATGATTACTTAAAACTAACAATGAAAAGAAATAAATGAAGAAAACCTAAAACGGAACTGGAATGATGAAGCCCAGTGATCAGAAATCTCTGTCTCTCGTCTTCTTCTCAAGAACAACTGCTGCTGATGTTGAAAAGAAAACTAGGTTTAAGGATTCCTACGAAGAAATTGTGCGGCAATGTGAGGATTCAGAATTTATACAGCTATTTGTGTTGGATAGTTTAAGTTGGTATCTGAATCCTATTAGGACTCAGGTGGGGCATATTACCGTTATGTTAGTTTGTGGGAGTAATAGTTTTGGAAGTTTCCTTTTTTGCTTTCTGGTTGTGGGATTCTGGGATTTTAGTTTTTGTCAAAATGGTTTCTGGGTTTTCGGATTTATTAATAAAAATGGTTTTAGATTGACCCTTGAGGATTAATGTTTTCTATTTCTGAATAATTAGAGGAGAATGAAAATTTGCAAGAACATATCTTTTTCTGTATTTATGTTGAAATTGTTTAAGTAATAGTACTTGATGTTCAATGCCTAAAGGTAATTTGTTGCCTGTATTAATATTTTGAGAACTATATTTAGAAAATGTAACCATTTTTATTCCATTTTCTCCAAGAGCAAATTTAAAACTGTAACCCGGAAACTTCTTAAGATTATGGGATAATTTATATAGCTAGTTGGGTTGTATATTTGACGTTGGTTTCTGAATTGTGTTCGGATTCGGGAAGGTCATATTACCGTTGTGTTAGTTTGTGGAAGTAATGTTTAGGAAAGTTTCCTTTTTTGGTTGCTGGGATTTTTTTTTATTGATAAAAATGGTTTCCTATCATTGAGGATTATGCTCTTTTTTTTTTTTTTTTAATATTTTGATGAGATTGCCAATTTGCAAGAACATATCTTTATCTGTACTGGATGTTTAATACACAAAGCTACTAATATGGGCTTTTCTGGACGATAATTTGTTGCCATTGCTAAAATTTTCAGAAACAAAATTAGAGATTGTAACCATTTCTTGTTCCATTTTCTCCAAGAGCAAATTTAAAATTGAAAGCCCTGAATCTCTTTAGATTATAATAGTAAAAGGGAAAAATTCACTTTTCATCCTCAAACTTTGTGACAAAGACACATTTGGTCCCTAAACTTTTTGTCGGAACACATTGAGTACATGAATTAACGATATTTTGCCACATTCAGTCAAAAAACGGGAATTTACTCAATTTGGACGGTGAAGACCACGTGTCCGTTAACAAATGTCCAAATTTCAATTTATAACCAACACAAGTCAGCCTTTTGTGGACATTACACAATTCCTTGAACAAGTTGTCCATTTTGGTATTATTTTAAGTTCTTATTTAATGGGCATTACCTATTCAAAATACTAGCTTTTTGTGGACATTTTACTCTCAAACATTCAATTTATAATAAATATATAAATGTTTTTAAGTAAAATTCAAAAAGTGTTACAGTAATTTCTTACGAAAAAAAACTAGTAGGTTATCTATTTAACATAAATTAAATATTTTTAAAAAAAGAAATATCCCACAAAGTACCAACTCTTTATGGCTTTTCTCTATTACATAAACCAAGTACCAGGTTTTTATGGGCATTTTATTCTGAATCATTTAATTTATGTTAAATACATAAATATTTGCAAATAAAATTCAAAAGCCGTTACACAAATATTTTTACGAAAGGAAAACTAGCATGTTTTGTATTTAATATAAATAAAGTATTTGAAAGTAAAAAAAAATTCTCCATAACATACCAGTTCTTTACGAGTTTCTTCCATTATATGAATAAAGTACTAGTTATTTATAAGCATTTTACTTTAAATCATTTAATTTATATTAAATGCATAAATGTTTATAAGTGAAATTC